GCATGCTGCTGTATGCTTCTTCACTGCCGGTGCTAGGAAGGGGTCCCGAAAAGATAACCGTGTCCGCCATTGTGCTCGCCAGATTACAAACGGCGGCAACCTGCACCTTCAACATCTCTGCTGTTGTTTGTTTCCGCCTAACGTCATTGCCACCCGCGTGAACGACGACTAGACGAAAACGCTGCTTGTTTTGGTTCAGGACCCTCAAATTCCCCTCAATGTCACCCATCCTGGCCCCAGGGTAGCACAGAACAGTGGCCCCTGTGATCTCGACATCTCTAACAATAGAGCTGCCAATTACCAGAACATCAGCGGTTCTCTCAGTAGGGTTCTCCTTCCTGCCCGAGGGGCAGCTCATAGGCAGAGCGGCCGGCGACATCTTTTCCTGATCCTTTTCCAGACACAATATTCTGGCCTTCAACTCTGTTATTGTCTTGTTGGCGTCTTCTTTTGCCTCCTGAACGCAGATTTCGCATTTCCTCTGCATCTGTCGATTCTCTGCTTGGAGTTTTGTGTTCTCTCCCTTCATCTCGGCAATAATAGAGTTTTTCATGCAGAAACTCGCCCTTCCCTTCTCCAACTCTTTCTTGTTATTGGCCAGTTGCTCCTTTGCCTTCTCGTTAGTTTCAGTTAGAGTACTGATCATGTTGTCGTTCAGCTTTATCTGGTCCCTCAGCTCTTGAATGCTGTGTTCAAAGGTCCTCTTGGCATCCTCCACCTCATTCGTGTGTTTTTCCCGGGCCACAAGAAGTGTTTTTTCAGACACAGCTTGTACGTTTTTCAAATGCTGTTCCATGTCCAGTATTTTTGCCTTGAACCTTCCACAGAGAGCTGTGAGTTTCCCATTTTCTGCCTCCATCTGTGAAATTGCAGAGTTTTTCATCATGACATTTTTCCTAAATTCCTCCAACTCTTTCTGGCTGTTTGCCAGATTTTCCTCCAAACGAGTATTTGCCATCTCTCTGTCCTGCATCTGGGTCTTGAGCTCCTCGATGAAACTGTTGCCTTCTTGTAAACGAAAGGTCAGGAGGTCAATCGTGTCATTGTTCTCAGATTTGACCTCTGCAAGCTCATTCTGCAGGTCTCTAATTACTGTGTCTGTCTTTTTAGCAGACATCTCACTCGCAGTTTCCAAGGCCTTAATGTCCTCATGGGCCTTCTGCAGTTCCTCTTGGAGTACAGTCTTCTCCTGGATGGTGGAATTCAGTCTGTCTTGGATAGAAGTAGAGTTCTTCTCTGACTGCATTAGGGCAGTCTCCAAGGCAGATTTCTCCGTCTGGAGCTGGCTCACTTGCTCCTGTTGTTGACGACGCTCATTCTGCAGATCTCCAATCACTGCGTCTGTCTTTTTAGCAGACGTCTTCATCGCAATGTCCAAGGCCTCAATGTCCTTATGGGCCTTCTGCAGTTCCTCTTGGAGGGCTGTCTTCTCCTGAATGGTAGAATCCAGTTTGTCTTGAGTAGAGGTAGATCTCTTTTCCGCCTGCAGCAGAGCAGTCTCCAAGGCAGACCTCTCTGTCTGGAGCTGGATCACCTGCTCCTGCTGTTGGCGACTTTCCTCCAGTTGAGTCTTCTCCATCTCGCCCCTCTGCATTTTCTCCCTCTGCAGGTCCTCCAAAAGACTCTTGTGTTTGTCCTGCAACACCATCACGTCGTCTTCAAGCTTTTCAATCAGCTTGGCCTTCTTTGATTGCCTTCGAAAACACGCCATTTTGCTCAGTTTACTCCGTTTACTTCGTTTACTCCGTTTTTTGTTTGACTCTATTCAAGAATCACGGACAGACGCACAAACACAGCAGACCCTAGCTTTGATGACGTAATGATTCCAATGGAATCACTGTTGCCATGATGATAGAATGTTCCACTCTTCTGTTACCGTGGCAATTTTTTGCAGCTACTTTACATGTTGGCAAAGAATCCTCATTGAAAATAAAGGAAATTAATTATGAAAATTATAATAGATATGGATGGAACACACAAGATAATTACAAAATAAGTAAAAAATAAACAACATTTAAGAAAAAGTGACTGCTTGCTCAAGAGTACATTCTTGATTTTCATCAAAATGTTGTGTGTTTAATTGGTGCCAAGTAAAAAAATCTTTTACAACATAGTGACTAAAATAAGTGTGAGCCATAACAGGGTAATTCAAATGTAACATGTTATATTTGACTGTGGTGATTCTATTTAGAATATCTATCTTTAAACCTTTTTTTCTCAGATTTCTGTTTCATAAAACCATGTTAACAAGCTGACTTCAGATAATGATAACTTTTGTTACACACATGCTATGAAAAAAAGGAAAACAGATTTGAAAAGATATTGAAAGTAGATTTAAGATGGTATCAGAATCTTAAGTTGGTCAAATTTCACCATGTGATGGGTTTTCCCAGATCGCATCACACATGTATATGTATGCAACAATATCAAAAACTCAGACCAACCATTTTTCAATAAATCAACAAAAAAAACTTCCACTAATCAAAACACATACAATAGCATCAGCTCTGACAGCCTGGTGGAACCTCCATCACATAACAAGTACCCCTCTCACACCATCCAAATACACACCACTCTGGAAAAACCTGCGATGTTACGGACAATGACCTATTGTGCCAGTTGTGCACTAGATGGCGCTCCCGTTGCCCTTTGTTTTGTTTGTGTGCGCCACCTCTTTCTGTACAGGTAATCTATTGGAAGAGCTTTGGGAGTGGGCAGTACAAAGTAAATGGTGATGCGCGTTCGAGCGTCAAAATGCATGTGCGTTTCGGGATGCACGCACAGACTGCTCAGTAGAGACGCACGGACTGCTCGGTAGAGACGCACGGACTGCTCGGTAGAGACGCACGGACTGCTCTGTAGAGACTTCTGTAGAGACGCACGGACTGCTCTGTAGAGACTTCTGTAGAGACGCACTGACTGCTATGTAGAGACGCACGGACTGCTCAGTAGAGACGTACGGACTGCTCTGTAGAGACGCACGGACTGCTCTGTAGAGACGCACAGACTGCTCAGTAGAGACGCACGGACTGCTCGGTAGAGACGCACGGACTGCTCAGTAGAGACGTACGGACTGCTCTGTAGAGACGCACGGACTGCTCTGTAGAGACGCACGGACTGCTCAGTAGAGACGCACGGACTGCTCGGTAGAGACGCACGGACTGCTCTGTAGAGACGCACTGACTGCTCAGCAGAGACGCACGGACTGCTCTGTAGAGACGCACGGACTGCTCTGTAGAGACGCACGGACTGCTCAGTAGAGACGCACGGATTGCTCGGTAGAGACGTACGGACTGCTCTGTAGAGACGCACAGACTGCTCTGTAGAGACGCACGGACTGCTCTGTAGAGACGCACGGACTACTCTGTAGAGACGCACGGACTGCTCTGTAGAGACGCACAAACTGCTCGGTAGCACGCAGGAGATGAATTTTTCTGAGCGTTTCCTCGGACGTTCGTGCAGCGACCAATCAGAGAGCCGCAAAGTGTTCACGGGGACATTAGTGGTCTGAGCGAGCAGACTGAACATACTGTAAACAGCCAAAACAGGAGCTAAACCAGGACTAAACCAGGGTTGACAATGGGGGACTCTGTGCTTGTGAACATATGCGTTTTCATAGCGCGACAGTAGCTCAGAGGGTGGTGGGTTCGAGCCCGACCTTCATCATCGACTCCCTCTGTCTGCTGTCGTTGTGTCCTTGGCAAGACATTTAACCTCTGGGAACACCAGCCACAGTGGGGCGACTGCGGCTGTAAAGTGCCAAACTGCCGTTGTGTCCTTAGGCAAGACACTTTACCCCCATTGCCTCGAATGAGTCTGGTGTGTCTGTGAATGGTTGGTGGTGGTGGTGGGAGGGGCCAATGGCACATACTGGTTGCCTCGCTTCTGTCAGTGTGCCCCAGGGCAGCTGTGGCTACAGTAGTATTTTATCACCACCGTGTTTGGAGTGAATGAATAATGACATGTGAAGCGTCTTTGAGTGTCCAAAAAAGCGCTATATAAAACCGACGCCTTATTATTATTCATGCTCCTGTGACTTTAGGCAAATGCTTAGAGCGCTTTGCTGATGCGGAAGTACGTTTATTAATAAGATAAACGTATGGTGCACCTCCGTGAACACATACTTCTGTTATATGAAGTCTCTGAAGGTCTCTGGACACATGGGCTCATGCCAGGTAAGAAACGCTCTTTTATGGAAATTGGCTCCAGCTAGCTTTTGTTGAAATCAGCCTCTTCTGTATTAAGGCTAACAGGTGACATTAGCTTGGTCAGCATACTCCTAGTATATGGTTTATGGTCCTAACCCTAACAATAAGTGTAGCCGAGCCCTAACATCTGACCTCTAAGCCTAACCTAGCTAAACAGATTGATTCTGGAAAAACAACTTTTTAGCCCTGTTTCCACCAACCTCTACTCTACTCTCTACTCTACTCTACTCTACTCTACTCTACTCTACTCTACTCTACTCTACTCTACTCTACTCTACTCTACTCTACTCTACTCTACTCTACTCTACTCTACTCTACTCTACTCTACTCTACTCTACTCTACTCACTCATGCCAATCTCTGTCGCTTAGAACACTTTAGTACCAGCTCGGCCTCGATAGAACCGGGACCAAGAGGGACTGTTTCAGGTAACCAAAGGAGAGGGACCAAATTAATCATATTGGGTTTGATTCTAAGAGGGACTGCTTTTTCCTGTTACCAAAAGAGGGACTAGGGAGAATAACCGTAATTCTTAAAGCCGGAAAACTGGTTACATTTACGCCTGACTAACGGAGCCGGACATAACGGAGCACACCTGTGTTTGCCGGGCTTCCCTCGTCCAACAAGAGTCAGAGTCCTCGTGTACTTTAGTTCAAGATTTCACAAGCCCTCCAGAGACGCTCAGATTACAGGACGCAAAGAAAACAAAGAAATCTCTCCTAAAACAGCATCAGTCCCACGTTCTATTCCCGACAGAGAAGCTATTGAAATATCAGAGAAAGCCAAAACTCTCATGTCTAAAGCCAATCTGGCAGCGTCCTCCCAGCAGTTTTCCTTGAGTCAACTCCTCAATGACAAGTCTGATTTGGTGAGGTTGGAAAAGGCACGGAAACTCAGACAACTGCTGAAACAAGAGATGCTGAAAGGGGTGAGTTAAAAATGTCCTTGTTTCCGTGTCATCTTTCATGTTTATGCTTTTGCCGGAAGCGCTTACCATACCGACGTCTCAACACTTTATAGAAAACGAAAAAGGCCAAATCAAATGTAAAGGAGCATTGTTTAGATCCCTCCAAGATGACCATGCGGGACCTTATCCGTTATCTCCCAACAGCCAACCCCATGTCGTAAGTCTTCTTTATGTGATCATGTAAAGTGTTTTTTTTCATTTTTTTCATATTGACCCTTTATTGATTTCAATTTTCTTCTAAAAAAAATACAGAACATCTTTAGAATCCCAGCAGGAAAATGAGACTGTCCTCCCTCCATCACCTGCAAGAGAAGCGTACGTTCCTTAATGTTTTCTTTCTCTTTGTGTTAGGATATTGAGTAAGATAGAGAACAATGACATTCTTTTTTTGGTAACGCTTTATATTAAGGTGTGCTTGTTAAGTATTAATAAGGTATTAATAGACATTAGCAACATGCTTATAGATTGCTTATATGTACTTATAAACATATTAATAAGCTGCTCATTTCACTATTCTCTAAATGATGTTGTTCTAGTTATATGCTTTTAAGCATTTAATAAGTAATTAGTAAGATACTTATTAAAGGAGGAATATGTTTATAAATATATGAATAAGCTGCTTATTAAACTATTATTGATACCATGTTAATAGGCCACTAACAATATGCCTATAAAGATATTAATACGCTGCTTATTAATAGGCAATAGTGGTAATAGGCCACTAAAAATATGCGTTAGTAAACTGCTTATTACACTATTTTGCAGTACCCTAATCTAAAGCGAGGAGCGACAGTAGCTCAGTTGGTAGAGCATTGGCCTTTGGGCCTGAAGGTCGTGGGTTCGAGCCCACCGTAAGACCTACTTCACGACTCCCACTGATGACTACTGTCGTTGTGTCCTTGGGCAAGACACTTAACCCTACTTTGCCCAAAGCCCCAACTGAAAGATCTCAGCTCCTGTGGACTCACCACCTGCAGGAGGATCATTGAGGGGCTGGTGCTCTGTGGACTGGGTGTAGCTCTGACTGCCACCCCCCCGACCCAGAAATGGATTAAGGGGAAGAAAATGGATGGAAATGGATGGATGGAAAAAAACACAACAATGATCTAAGATGTTTTTATTTATTCAAACAGCAACAATTAAAGTCTAAATGAAAAAAAATATCAAAATTAAGTTTGTGCCAAAAGTTTGTTAGTAACTTCAAGAAGCCATGATGCCCCTACTCATGCTCCGACCTGCTTGAATTTGGCTTTGGCAAAACAGTGAATCAACTGACTTCACGAGCCTGAGAGATTAGCGGACAGGGGTGGGAACCTAAGGGTACCTCACGATACGAGCATGGCATAAATAAAATAAAAATTACTCTTTATTTCATGATAAATAGAATGGAGATGCGTAATGTATCCATATATTAAGTATTGATACCAATAAAAACGAAAAAATAAAACATTTTTTTCTTTTTTTTTTCAAAATTGATATTGATACTTGGCAAATGCATATCGATAATCGAAACGCGAGAGAAAGTATCGTCACACCCCTATTAGTGGAACTCGCCTATTTTTGGGCATCGTCTGATCCTCCCGGTTCTGCGCAGTTGACGAGCTCCCATGATGCTGCGCCAAATACGCGTGCGTGGCTGTCATGCACATGCACATAGGGGCCGCGCTCTGACCAATCAGAGCTGCTGATCAGAGTGGGAGTTAGAGCGGGAGTAAGAGCCAGACGAGTAGAGTTTGTGGCAGTAAAATGTGGATTTAAAGAAAACTGAAGGATTTAAGAAGAAAAAAAGTTCAGGATGACAAGGGACACTAAAATCTCCACAAAATCCGACCTTTATGAAAGCTGTAGGTTCTCTGTCTGCTGAGGTCGAGCTGTTTTAGTTTACATTGAGTTCTATGGGGACAATTTCTGGGTAGCCCACGTGAATTTAGTTTGCAGTACCACCGAGCTACAAGCTAGTAATACCCTATCCAGTTATTATAATAGATCCATGTATACAACGCACCTGTGGCACAACCATGGAACTATAATAATAACTGGATAGTGTATTCCTAGCTTATAGCTGTCCCACCCATGGGCACAGGGGGCGCTGTGGTACTGCAGACTAAATTCACGAGGGCTACCCAGAAAAAGTCCCATAGAACTCAATGTAAATTAAAACAGCTCGACCTCAGCTGACAGAGAACCTGACAGAGAACCTACAGCTTTCATAAAGTTCGGATTTTCTGGGGATTTTAGTGTCCCTTGTCATCCTGAACTTTTTTTCTTCTTAAATCCTTCAGTTTTCTTTAAAGTGGTTCTCACCCCCGCTCCTCGGAGCTTACGTCACTCACATTTCCTGTTCAAATCTTCCTATAAATGGGCGTAGCCTGGAGGACTAATGGGGGCGTGAACGAGACTGGGCCGTTTATATAGCTCTGGGCGGGGGGCTGCTGACGTCAGGTCTCAGGCGCCAGATTCAAAATTCAAATTAATACAGGTCGCCAGCAGATGGCGCCTCACAGATGGTTTTAGGCAGAAAGTATAACTTTCAACTAATTTGCACCAAAGTGACAAAATTATGACCAGGATATGTAGACAACACTATTGGACACTCATTTATACCGTTTATCAGCAAAAAAAAAAAGTGGATTTGAGGGTGAGTTGTCCTTTAAATCCACATTTTACGGCCACAAACTCTACTCGTCTGGCTCTGATCAGCAGCTCTGATCAGCAGCTCTAATTGGTCAGAGCACGGCCCCTCTGTGCACGTGCATGACAGCCACGCAAGCGTATTTGGCGCAAAGCATCATGGGAGCTCGTCCACTGCGCAGAGCCGGGAGGACCAGACGATGCCCAAAAATAGGCGAGTTCCGCTAATCTCTCAGGCTCGTGAAGTCAGTTGATTCACTGTTTTCTCATGGCTCCTTGAAGTTACTAACAAACTTTTGGCACAAACTTAATTTTGATATATTTTTTCATTTAGACTTTAATTGTTGCTGTTTGAATAAATAAAAACATCTTAGATCATTGTTGTGTTTTTTTCTGCATTAACAAAAATGCTCCTCGCTTTAGATTAGGGTACTGCAAAATAGTGTAATAAGCAGTTTATTAACGCATATTTTTAGTGGCCTATTACCACTATTGCCTATTAATAAGCAGCGTATTAATATCTTTATAGGCATATTGTTAGTGGCCTATTAACATGGTATCGATAATAGTTTAATAAGCAGCTTATTCATATATTTATAAACATATTCCTCCTTTAATAAGTATCTTACTAATTACTTAGTAAATGCTTAAAAGCATATAACTAGAACAACATAATTTAGAGAATAGTGAAATGAGCAGCTTGTTAATATGTTTATAAGTACATATAAGCAATATATAAGCATGTTGCTAATGTCTATTAATACCTTATTAATACTTAACAAGCACACCTTAATATAAAGCGTTACCCAAAATTTAAGAAAAAGTGACTGCTTGCTCAAGAGTACATTCTTGATTTTCATCAAAATGTTGTGTGTTTAATTGGTGCCAAGTAAAAAAATCTTTTACAACATAGTGACTAAAATAAGTGTGAGCCATAACAGGGTAATTCAAATGTAACATGTTATATTTGACTGTGGTGATTCTATTTAGAATATCTATCTTTAAACCTTTTTTTCTCAGATTTCTGTTTCATAAAACCATGTTAACAAGCTGACTTCAGATAATGATAACTTTTGTTACAGACATGCTATGAAAAAAAGGAAAACAGATTTGAAAAGCTATTGAAAGTAGCTTTAAGATGGTATCAGAATCTTAAGTTGGTCAAATTTCACCATGTGATGGGTTTTCCCAGATCGCATCACACATGTATATGTATGCAACAATATCAAAAACTCAGACCAACCATTTTTCAATAAATCAACAAAAAAAACTTCCACTAATCAAAACACATACAATAGCATCAGCTCTGACAGCCTGGTGGAACCTCCATCACATAACAGGTACCCCTCTCACACCATCCAAATACACACCACTCTGGAAAAACCTGCGATGTTACGGACAATGACCTATTGTGCCAGTTGTGCACTAGATGGCGCTCCCGTTGCCCTTTGTTTTGTTTGTGTGCGCCACCTCTTTCTGTACAGGTAATCTATTGGAAGAGCTTTGGGAGTGGGCAATACAAAGTAAATGGTGATGCGCGTTCGAGCGTCAAAATGCATGTGCGTTTCGGGATGCACGCACAGACTGCTCAGTAGAGACGCACGGACTGCTCGGTAGAGACGCACGGACTGCTCGGTAGAGACGCACGGACTGCTCTGTAGAGACTTCTGTAGAGACGCACGGACTGCTCTGTAGAGACTTCTGTAGAGACGCACAGACTGCTCTGTAGAGACGCACAGACTGCTCAGTAGAGACGCACGGACTGCTCTGTAGAGACGCACGGACTGCTCTGTAGAGACGCACAGACTGCTCTGTAGAGACTTCTGTAGAGACGCACGGACTGCTCTGTAGAGACTTCTGTAGAGACGCACGGACTGCTCTGTAGAGACGCACAGACTGCTCTGTAGAGACTTCTGTAGAGACGCACGGACTGCTCTGTAGAGACTTCTGTAGAGACGCACGGACTGCTCGGTAGAGACGCACGGACTGCTCTGTAGAGACTTCTGTAGAGACGCACGGACTGCTCTGTAGAGACTTCTGTAGAGACGCACGGACTGCTCTGTAGAGACTTCTGTAGAGACGCACGGACTGCTCGGTAGAGACGCACGGACTGCTCTGTAGAGACGCACAGACTGCTCTGTAGAGACGCACAGACTGCTCTGTAGAGACGCACGGACTGCTCTGTAGAGACGTATGGACTGCTCTGTAGAGACGCACAGACTGCTCTGTAGAGACGCACGGACTACTCTGTACAGACGCACGGACTGCTCTGTAGAGACGCACGGACTGCTCGGTAGCACGCAGGAGATGAATTTTGCTGAGCGTTTCCTCGGACGTTCGTGCAGCAACCAATCAGAGAGCCGCAAAGTGTTCACGGGGACATTAGTGGTCTGAGCGAGCAGACTGAACATACTGTAAACAGCCAAAACAGGAGCTAAACCAGGACTAAACCAGGGTTGACAATGGGGGACTCTGTGCTTGTGAACATATGCGTTTTCATAGCACGACAGTAGCTCAGAGGGTGGTGGGTTCGAGCCCGACCTTCATCATCAACTCCCTCTGTCTGCTGTCGTTGTGTCCTTGGCAAGACACTTTACCCCCATTGCCTCGAATGAGTCTGGTGTGTCTGTGAATGGTTGGTGGTGGTGGTGGGAGGGGCCAATGGCACATACTGGTTGCCTCGCTTCTGTCAGTGTG